AATTATTTTTGCTGCTGGGTTGGAGCTTCAAAGAGTGCGTGCTATTCGTAGCTTTTACTGCTTCTGGGAGAAGACAGTTTTTCTGGGCAACTGATAGTTATGATTTGCAAACTGGATCATGATCATTAGGAATATAAAGGGCTTTCTTACGTCCAAGCTATTGGGACACATCCTATTCTTCTTCCCTGGTATTCTTTCTCTTGGCACACTAGTAAAAAAATACGGTGCTTGAGGATCTATTTGGTTTTCTAAAGATCTCGCAACTGGGCTCTGGGAAGTCTGGAAATTGAGGACTTCCATGTTCCAGTTTGTGGCTGTCCCCTCTTGTCCTGTCACTGGGCACCACTAAAAAAAAGACTGGCCCCATCCTCCTGACACCCACCCTTTCAGTATTTATAGGTGTTGATCAGATCCCCCCTCAGCCTTCTCTTCTCCTGACTCAAAAGATCCAAGTCCCTCAGCCTCTCCTTGTAAGAGAGATGTTCTAAATCATGGGATTTATCATCCTATAGATCATCAAATTCCTTTTCTATAAGAGATGGAGAATCTCTTTATTTGGAGAACAAGATTTTCCTCTTTAAGAAAACAGGCAACTTGCTGTTGTGACACAATAACAGCCATTTATAATGAAATTCTGAGTTTGATCATTTCTTTAAAGGCAGTTGCTGTGTTGGTGAAGCAGCTGGTTAAAGTGAATTAACACTGTTGCTGTGTGTGGAAACTAATAGTGTAAAACGCAGTTTACCATCAAACTCATTTTGATTTAAGTCTGCTCTTCCCCTAATAAAGGGCATAGTGTCTCATTGGTGGCGTCAGCACTTAGATTTCAAAGAGCTTGGGAAAAGCCAAACTTGTGTTTTCTTCTGTCATCGGTGCCTGCAGGAGGGGAGAGCGTGGCCAATGTGGGGGACTGAGAGCTGGACAGAAAAGTGATTATTGAAACTCTTGAGCAAAGATTGTGGCCAGGGAAGCTGAAAATAATTTGCTGGGCTGCAACTCAGGAAACCTCCAGAGTGTGATCTGAAAGCATTTGTCTTGCAAAGGCATTAGGGTTTTTTTCTTACATTTTGTTATCAGGGTGATCATGCCCATTAGGTCCCCGTTAGCCTTTGGCTCTGACACAACCTCAGTTGTTGCCTTTGTAGATGACACTGATGGAAAACAGTCCTGACAATGAAAATGAGGTGGAAAAGTATAGTCAGTATTGGTTTCTGGTTTTGTTTTAGGGGTAATTTAGTAGTTGAAAGCCCTAGAGTCTTTTCTGTAATGACTGGGTGACACAAATGACAGTGGTGTGCCATGACCTGGGTCTTAGCTGCCTTCCAGAAGGAGGTGGCACCACCGAAGCTTTCTCTGAGCAATTCCTAACCTGCCTCTGGTCTCTGAGTCTGTCTCTGGGGTGGTGTCTGCTGCTTTGTGCTAACTCTACACCACTGCAGGATAAATTGGATTATCTCCTTCAACTGCCTTACCCTATGGTCCCTTCAGTGCTTGAGGAGATGCCAGGGTTGGGCTGGGAACAGAAGGTTCTGGGTAGGATGGGACCTCTTGCTTTTGGGAGCAACCAGGGTTGCATCATCAGCAGCTGAACTCGGCTGGGAAACGGAGCCACGCTCTCGAAATGCCCAGATGCTGCTTCTGACTTTCCCTTGTGCTCTGCTACTAAAGGTGGCAAAAAAAAAATAAAAGGTTCCCTTTTTGTTTAATTTGAGGTAGGAGATCTCCTAGTGCCCTCAGAGGTCTTTCTGGGCTTTAAAGATCAGCGGACAACAACTTCTGTTTGTGGATGTAAAGAAGGAACATTTTTATCATACATCCAAGAGCTGCAGTATCGAGCTTGTACTATTTCCTGGTTTGGTGGTGTTCTGAAAAAAAACTGGAATACCAGTTCCAGATGGGTGTATTTCAAGAAGGATGTTGAAAACTGCATATGATTTAGGGTAGGGTGGTAAGACCGATGAAAGACCTGGAAATGTGCTGGATGGTGAAAGATTTAGAGCTCAAGTCTGTTCAGTTTAGGAAAAGTGTGGTTAAGAGATCATTGGATCACAGTCTTAATGCGTTCATGTGGGGAGCAGAAACGTGATAATAGACAGCTTCTCCGTCTAGCAAACAGAAGTAAAATGAGAATCAACAGCTTGAAGTCAGCCAAATTGGTTTGGAAATAAGGTGCAAAATTTTGACAGGGAAGGCAGTTATAGAATCACAGAATGGTTTGAGTTGGAAGGGACCTTAAAGAACATCGACTTCCAACCCCCTGCCCTGGGCAGGGACACCTCCCACCAGACCAGGTTGCTCCAAGCCCCATCCAGCCTGGCCTTGAACCCCTCCAGGGATGGGGCAGCCACAGCTTCTCTGGGCAACCTGGGCCAGGCTCTCACCACCCTCACAGCAAAGAATTTCTTCCTGAGATCTCATCTCAATCTCCCCTCTTTCAGTTTAATGCCATTCCCCCTCATCCTATGGCTCCCCTCCCTGATCCAGAGTCCCTCCCCATCTCTCCTGGAGCCCCTTTAGGAACTGGAAGGGGCTCTAAGGTCTCCCTGGAGCCTTCTCTTCTCCAGGCTGAACAGCCCCATCTCTCTCAGCCTGTCCTCACAGCAGAGGGGCTCCAGCCCTCGGAGCATCTTCGTGGCCTCCTCTGCACTTAAACACTGGAACAACTTAACCCATAGTTGTGATGCACTTGCAAACACTGGAAATATCATAATTAAGATTGCACCTCTTTCTGAACGACTGAAGCTTAGGAACAGGTGTTAAATGTGAAGTAGGAGAATTTTTAAGGTATGTCTAAATGGCACAGTGTGATGCAGGCATCCACGCTGACCCTGGAAGAGCTAGGATGGGCATTAAAAGCACCAGAGCTGTGGTAGCATGGTTTCCCACTGCGGGGGATATATAGAGCTTTTTAGCAGAGCTTGGATGCGATGCTTGGTGATCACTCGCTTGCTTGCTCTTAATGAGCTCCTACAGGCAAGGAATCCTTGAAGCCCTTTGGAATCACATGTAAAAATAAGGATTTCTCATATAGGAGAAGCATGTTTCCAAAATGATTTTTTTTTTTCTTTATTGTTTACATGGGTTCAGTTTGAGAGTAGATAAATTCTTGCAAGAAAAGGTATCAGAGCAAGAAACCATATTGGAGTCAGGAAACGTGTGATGTGAAGATAGTTGGAGGCTGAGAAATAGCAAAGGGAGCACATTAAAGGCCCTGTTCTCACTCTTTCCTAAATGTCAAATTGTCTCCATTGTGGAGAAAGGATACTGGGCTGCTGGATTACTGCTCTGATCCCACGTGGATTTTCTTGTATGAGTTCTAACAGTGTCTGTTTCTCATACTATTAAAATTTGGAGAAACCAAACTTGTAACTTTAACGATAGCTCGTAATGTTTCGAAGCGTGAGCCTTTCAGAACAAAAGAATCTGTTTTTAAAGTAAAAGTATGACGATTCTCAAAAACACCTTTAAGATCTGTTAATTGTATCAGTTTGACCATAGCAATTTAAAACTGATTGTATAAGTTGGGTCATATCAACTTAAAATTGTCGTATTGATGGATTGGACAGATTGATAGCGCAGTTAATTCCTCGGCTCTTTAGGGATGAGTTTCCAGTGGTGGCAAAAGAAATTCAGGAAATCAACCTACGTAACTGGGGATTGCTTTCCAGCTGTTGAGATGCCTTTTCCTGTGGTGTTTAGCTCTGAATCTTGTCAAACCACTTCACACTACGGTGTCTGGGTCATGGTCTTTATAGGTCCGGGACTTGCCAGTCCGTCTGTGGATGAGCTACTTTAAGACATTGATTGAACCCTTCCTAGAAAAGCAAAAGAATTAGAAAAGCGCTTGAATTGGAAGGAAAACTGCATAATTAAGGCATTGCCTTTATGTATTCTACTATGGAGCTGACATGGAACTGCCCAACTGGAGAATGTGCTGATTGTAGACATTAAATTGAAGATCAAATTCTTAAAAAATTTGACCTGATGGCTCATGCTGTCTTGGGCTTTTCCACTGGATGACTAATGGTACACCAGCAGTACACTATGTACTTATCATAAAAATCAGAAAGATTAACATACGCATTAGACTGATTATTTTTTTTTTCTGATGTACATCTCTAAAAGTTCATGAAGCATTTTTTTATGCATCTTACGAAATTATGAAATGTGTGTTATGAAAAGTGGGACTTTGTTGCTATATTTCTGACCAAAGGTATCTGATATCATTTGATTCTAGGCAATTTAGTCGGTAGTTTCAATAAACTTCAAGATAATTGGGAGTGGTGAAGCTTTATACTCCCATCAGATAAAAAAAAAATATATTGTTCTTTCATTGTTATGTTTCATAATGAAGCCAGTTTGTTCTTGGATTACAAGATGCTTATATCACCTTCTTAATGTATTGTGCTATGTAATTATTTATGAAGTGGGTCACATAAAAACTGCACAAACATTGAGATTAAAATTCAGAAAATTGTGCTTGTAATTGCCATGTGAAACTTAAATAAGCAGCATTAATCCACATGATCATTTTCTTGCTGAATAGCTATGATTCATGACTTTATCTAGGACCTGGCTTTATGTATGTGTGTATGTATCACTGAAGGATTTCTTTACATCTGTGTCTTTTAGTATATTCAGTGTCCAAATTTTTACTGACTTCTTGTTAAAATCCTTATTGTCCTTCAGAAACATTGCAGTTTACATTGATAGGGTAGATTCATATTCAGTGGAACCAGTTTTTATTCTTTATATTGGCTTAAAATGGAGAAGAAGCTGTAAACACTTTTATCGTAAATATAAAAACATCCTATTAATTAGTCAATTTAGACTTTTAGGATGATTTGTCTTTTAGTGAAAAGGCAAGAGGGGGGAAAAATAGCTGCGTTTTAACACTGCTAATAAGGTCACATATTTCCTATATTCTGCAAGTAGTAAAAGGGAGAAGTCACAAGAGCTGTAATCTGATTACAATTTTGGGGTTTGTTTTTCCTTTTCAGTCGGTGGCGAAGACCGGGCGGTTGCTGATAAGCCACGAGGCTCCCCTGACAGGAGGATTTGCATCTGAAATCAGTTCCACAGTTCAGGTACACATGTTTTTTGTATTTAAAGTGTTCTGCATGGCTGCATATGTTTACCTATAGAAAGAATATTTATTACTGCATTAAAAGTTGAGTTTCTCATGTTTTTTAGTTATTTCATTTTACATTTTTATTAGATTTCAGTTTTGTTCATGCTTGCCTTACGTTATCTGAACAGCTGATAAACCATGTACCTCCGAGGCACTCTGTATAGCATCAGCTAAGCTAGAAAGTTAAATCTTCACTGAAAAGCAGGGAAGATGTGCTGTCAGATGGAAAGGAAAAATCTTTGTATATAGTTAATATAATTTTTTTACCTTTCTCATTTTTTTTATCTCCAAAACTTCTTAAAAATACATTCTAGGAATAAAAATAAAATTCAAAAATGTAATCTATACAGGCAGTAGTTAAAGCTTGAGAATTCGCCTTTTTGTAGGAAAGAATAGAGTTAATTGTTCTTGGAATGCAATTTGGAATTAAATATGCATAAGGAGTCAGAAAACTATGTTTCTTGATCATTGCGATACAATTTCTTTGAAAGAGTGAGTTAAATTTAATATTATTATGTGAAGATAATTCATTTTTCTACGAAAACTTAGTCTCTATCAAGAACCAAAAGTTTATCATCCTTCCAAGAAGTTAGTATGTGACCTCCAGCCTCCAACTGTTTTCACACCACAAGTTTCCTCAGTCTGATATGGTTTCTTGCTCTAAATAACTGATAAAATTTCTTGCATGAATTTATCTATTCTCAAATTAAACCCTATTAAAAAAAAAAAAAAAGAAAATCAGGGCGGGGGGGAAGGGAAAGCAATTCCACCTCTGTCTTTTATAGGTAGGCTCTGATTAATATGAAATAAACTCAATCAAAACAGCCTGTCTTTTAGTGTCTTGAAACTAAGAAAGGTACTTACCTGGTTGATCCATCTTGGGGTTATTTTTCATATCAGAGACGTATTTAGAAAACAACGTTTAAAATGCTGTAATTTTGGACTATTTATTTTTGTCAACATTGAAAGTAAATATTTGTTTTGTGATAGTAGCTCAAAATTATAATAATTATATATGGTAAATTATATTCATATTTTTTAAGAAACTAGCATTTGTATCTCAAGAAATATTACTTAATTTATCATACTACCTCAGAATAAATTTGGATATAACTCTTTGGCGTTGAATTTATTCGTAGCGAGTTTCTTTCATATTGATTGGTTGACTTGAATCTGTGTTATAACTATATTTTTATTACTCTTTATATCCGTTCTGGAAGATTTTATAATCCGTACTAAAATTTTGATACCAGTTATTTTTAAGAATATTCATACTGCAAAAGAGATTAGAATAATATTTACAAAGCATTACAACTCTTTCAAGGAACAGTATTGCTTTAGGTATAATAAAGATCTTGCTTTTTTTATTCAGTTAAAATGCTTGACCTCTAAATGATAAGTTAAGTCCATATGTCTAATATCACTGTGCAGTAAAAATAAAAATGAAAAGTGAAATTCACTTTTGCTGGATGCAATGCACACCGAGAATGCCAAAAATTAGGGATTGCAGTTGGCTTTAGTATCCTGTTCCACATGGAAGTAATAAGAGTTCAATAAAGTCTGTTCAGTTGGATTAGATTGTTACTTTCCATATTGTTATTCCATCCTTGCTGTGAGGTCTCTCATCATAGGAATAAGGTGAATAAAAGTACATGGGTTATTTTAAAAGTCAACTGTCACAGACACTCCATGGTGATGTTCACCTCAAGGAAAAGGGTACGAATGGAAATGGTGGCTTTCACTCGTGAGCTGTAGGAGTACATTGAACAGTTTTCTTTTTGCATATGAGAGATTAAAACTGGCATTTGGAGAGCATATGAAATAAGATTTATTCTGTTTCAAATACAGAATATTTTAAAGGGGTGCATTATTGTATTAAGTAGTCATTGACTTTGATTTCTCAAACACATAAAACTAAGATCAGGATGAAGTGGTGTAGTTAAAAGTGTGATACGACGTTGCCCTTTCTACTGATGTTCTGTGTATGATCTCGATGGCATTATGAAGTGAGTAGATGTTAGCATAAATTCAATACAGGTACAGTTAATACTTTATTGGGTGGGAGTGTCCATCTGTTTGAGTATGGGAAGGCTCTACAGGGGGATCTGGGCAGGCTGGCTGGATGGGCTGAGGCCAATGGGATGAGGTTCAACAAGTGCCGGGTCCTACACTTGGGTCATAATAACCCCATGGACGCTCTAGGCCTGGGGCAGAGTGGCTGGAGCTTCCTGGTGGAATAGGACCTGGGGGTGTTGGTCGACAGCTGGCTGAATATGAGCCAGCACAGTGCCCAGGTGGCCAAGAAGGCCACCAGCATCCTGCCCTGTTATCAGGAACAGTGTGGCCAGCAGGACTGGGGCAGTGACCGTCCCCCTGGACTGGGCCTTGGTGAGGCCCCACCTCGAGGGCTGTGTCCAGTTTTGGGCCCCTCATGACAGGAAAGACATTGAGGGGCTTGCACAGATATAAAAAGTAACATACTTTCTTTTTTCTTGCAAGATCAGAGCAGTTCTGGTTTAATTGTAGTTTTCTATCTTGGTAGTGCAGTTTATTTTCTTATTGCCCGGTGACTTCTTTGTCCCTGGGCATCTGTGAGGATCTTGTGAGGATGTGACCTCAGTCCTCAGGAGTCCTTCCAGAGGACTCGGTGCATTTCTCAGAGTTGCACAAGGGTTTCAGTCTTCCAAAAGATTAATATTAATCAGATTATAGGTTCAATGAAACAACCTCTTTCTGAGGATTGAGTTACATGATCTTATTTTTATCAATTCTCCAGTTCTGTATCTAAAAATTGGATATAATAATCTTTGTCCGCTTGGATTGGTGGTGATTTAGATTTCCTCCTGCTGCTGCAAAATAAGGCCTAATCTCCAGTAAGTGGTGTAATTTCCTGCGCGTGTGTGACATTAGGAGAAGCTATTAGATGAGCTATTTTTGTGAGAAGCATTTCAGGAAAAGGAAAAGTGGATATGTCTAGGAATGCCTTTCAAAGGTGTAAGAGTTTCACAGCAATTCAATTCTAAAGCAGGTTACCATAGAAAGAATTTGCCAAAGCAAAAAAAAAAAAGGCTTGAACAGCAAGGAAAAAAAAATCAATTATTTTAGCAGGATGAATATTTAAAGTAAAATAGCCCTAAGGCTGATACTGGAGAGGAACTGTCTTAAATAACTGTTATTTTACAGAATCCTGAATAAATTTCATCTTTCCAATATAATGCTTTCAGATTTGAACTGAATAATTTTTCATATTATATGCCTTTAGAAGTTGGGATGTTGAGATATTTCAAACAGTCCCATTATTTCAATTTTTCTAATGGGCTGAAGGTATTCCTTGGATTGGAAGAGATGAAGTATTCACACAACGTAGTCCTTCATTTACTCTCCCATTTAAATTTGCAACTTTCCCTCTTTGAGCTCATCTAGCAGGAATCACAAGCTATAAAAGCCTGGTTTTATAGATCACAACATCAGTTTCACAGAGTCAGAGAATGATCTGGGATTGGAAGGGACCTCTGGAGATCATCCAGTCCAACCCCCTGCCAGAGCAGGGTCACCCAGAGCAGGTCCCACAGGAACGTGTCCAGGGGGGTTTGGAATGTCTTCAGAGAAGGAGACTCCACCACCTCCCTGGGCAGCCTCTGCCAGGGCTCTGCCACCCTCACAGCAAAGAAGTTCCTCCTCATGTTTAGTTAGAATTTCCCATGTTCCAGTTTGTGCCCGTTCCCTCTTGTCCTGTCCCTGGACACCACTGAAAAAAGCCTGGCCCCATCCTCCTGACACCCACCCTTTCAGGATTTACAGGCGTTGGATCAGATCCCCCCTCAGTCTTCTCTTCTCCAGACTAAAAAAACCCAAGTCCCTCAGCCTTGCCTTGTTTCTGTCACTTGGAGTATGATCTAGGAAATCTATAGAATAGAAAGACAGATAAAATAGAATTCTTTATATAGATTATAAAGAAAAGCTGGAATAAACACAGCGAAATAAGTTCAAGGTGGGCCTAAAATGTATAATAACACCATAGAAAGCAAGTGGTGATTTGCAGGAAAAGAAAATCAACTACTAGTGAAACAAGCCAGAACAATGGAAAAGAATGAAGTTGTTTCATAAGTAAGAAGCTGGGAGTAGTGAGGGAAATACCATCAACATAAAGTTGCCAGTCAGTGACTTGAGTCAAAGGTCTATATGAATGGTGCATGAAGATGTTCCCTGTGTTTATAAAATATGAATAAAGGCAGCTCAGCAAACCCCTGATTCCTGATGCAGCATGACCTAGAAGCAATTTTTGCCAGTCTGAAAACTTGCACAGTATTAAAGGCCATCAACGTATTTCCATAAGCAATATGGAAAATAAAAGTGAATAGACAAAATGTTACAAACCCACGATTTTTCCAAGGAAATAATACTGTGTTATTTATCGATAACGACTAAAGTTTATGTACAACAAAAAATGTTAAAAAAGTAAGATTTACTGGCGATACTGAGAAATTCAGTAAAATCAATATTAAAAATGATCTTTCATGTTAGAAATTTGACTTAGGAATTGAATGTGAATCTTTTCTAGAATAACCCTTAGTTTGACAATTAGCATAGCTCAAAGAGCTTGGGTACAGGAATAAACATTGGAAATTTTCTGGGTTTTTATTTTGTAAATAGAAGAACAAGTTTTGTGCCTTGTAACTCCACTGGGTGCTCCCCCCTAGACCTTTGCCCCCCGCTTGCTGCTGGTACTGACTGTGGGGATTTGGTGGCTGGGTTTGTCTGGCAGAGGTGGTATTTTTCTAAAATATAGGGATTTTTCTGAACTTTCGAAAAGGAACCAAAATCTAACAAGCTATGCCTGTTCAGAGAGTAGAGCCTGTACTTTCTCCACACTAACTTTTTAAGGCCAAAATTCTTCTGGATGTTACACCGAAATCTCTTATTACTCCATTATTGAGTCTCTCAATTTGACTCACT